GCTGAAGCCGGGCAATGGCCCCGGTATCTCAAATGATCTCAAATGTTCTCAATGATCTGTACAATTCGATAAGGGACGCTGGGCCCAGTTCCGAGCACGTGCTGCTCCCCACAAATAGACTGGAGCATTTGTTTTCAAAAAAAAAAAAAAAAAAAAAAAAAAAAAATCCCTTGTAAATTTGTAATCATTTACACTGTAGAAGTTGTATGAATGCTGCAGTACATGCTGCCACCTCGGGGAGAATTCACGTTTTCATGTTAGAATTTTTAAACAATAACTTTTTATGTAATTCCAAAGAATCCAACCAAAAGAGACTTCGTTAACCTCTGCCTTATATTCTTCCTCTGGCCTTTTTAACGACCCTACAATGATGTATGCTGCGCTCCTGAAGGAGCTCATTAACCCCTGTTTCTTTTTCCTTATTGATTTATAACTTTGGCTTCCAGCCGGGCCACCCGGGTCACCTTGTTCATCCGGGTGACAAGGCCATCGAAGGACCAAAGACGGTCCCAGCGAAAAAAAAAAAAAAAAATTGAAAAAAACGAATAAAAATTATGTTATGCAGAAAAATGAACTGAATAACTTTCGGCTCAGGGGCACATCAAAATTTTTTTAATACCGCTTCGAGGGGGCACTGCTATGCACCTGCCATAGCCCCATCTTGCCTGACGTGAGTTGGTAATCCATGACTGGCCGCAGAAGGAAGGGAAGAGATGTGAGGCCGGTCAACGGGCAGGATCTGTGCATCACTTGTACCAGAATGACCACCTGATCAGGGGCTTTGCCCGCTCGTTATAGATACGGAACATGATGGCATCATTGGAGTGCCAGCAGTTTGATTTGCATGATGAGCGGGAGATGAAGATGACAGTGCATCGATAAAACGTCGACTTCTGGGAGCGACAATGGACTTCAAGCGACGACCGGTAGCATCCACCATCTTCGACAACGGGCTTCAAGCTGCGGCTGGGATTGTCCACTGTTGCTGATACTCCTACTTCGGGGCCACCATGATGTTTGGATTCCTTGATCTCTGGTGCTTTGACAGATTATTGGTACAGCTCTGTCTGATTGCAATCTGAAGTAGTTGCTACTAGTGTTGGAGCTCAGGGTTGGACATCAAGTTTGTGTTTCTCTTTGATAGTTTGTGTTGCTTTTTCGTTTGTTTAGGGTTAAGAGGTATAGGTTCGCGGTTGCATTGCTTTTTTTGATAGGTTACGCTGGTTTGCTCGTTTGTTTTATTAGGGGTAGAGGCATCCATTACAGCTATTTAGGGTATAGAGTTCAAACCTGGGGATTTGTTTGTGATCGGGGCTGTGATCTGGATAGGTTTGGCCGACAGTGCCAGGCTTAGCCCGTTTGGCCGCAGCAAACGATGTAATATCATACTAATATGATCATATCTACTTCTTTTTGTATTCAAAAAAAATATATGTATATAAATATAATATATATATATCGTCACAAACAGAACTGCCCGGTAAACCGTAGGCAGAGAGAGAGAAGAGGACAACAAACGAGGGGCTGTGACAAACTGTTTCGTCGGAGTTTCACCGACTCATCAGGAGGCTATAGTTAAACAGAGCTGCCCAGCAAACCGTAGGCAGAGAGGGAGAAGGAGAATATATATA